CTGTGGCCTCTCTCCGCCCATGCGCGCCGGCTCAGAAGGCGCAGGAGTGCAAACTACAAGTCCCAGGAGGCAGTGCGTGTCCCTGGGCTCCTCCCCCTTTAAGCTGAGGCGCCTTCTGGTATAGGATTGGCGGACGGCCAAGTAGCTTGCCACGCCTCCGCGAGTGGTAGGCCGGAGACCCAATCAAGCGCGATGTGTCTGAGTCAACCGGATGGCAGTTTTGTTTGGGTTTTCCTCTTCCTCTGTCGGGACCCGGAAGTATTTCCAGCCATCCGGTCGTCATCGCGCCGGCGCAGAGCATTGGGGAGGTGGAGTGGGCGGGGCTGTAGGCTGACCCGGGAAACGAACGTCAGGATTTGGGCTGGTGTGCCTCGACTGGCGATGGCGCCCCCCGAGGCTTAGAGGTCCAGCGCCAGCGGCCGGCTTGGCACAAGACGCCCGCATTTGTGTCAGACCGTGGGAGCCCTGGTTTTAGGAACATGCTGCTGCCGCTGGCCAAGCTGTCCTGCCCGGGTGAGCGGGAACTTCGGGCGGGAAGAGGGGAGGAAGGTCGCGGAGTGAGGGCGACAGGGACGGACCCCGCGTGCAGCCGCGGGCCCTGCACCCCTCGGGTCTCTCCGACCCCACGGGGACCAAGCCCGCGTTGTCGGCGGACCCCGAATCCCCGCGCGGGTCGTCTGTGCGAGAACAGTGCCAACTAGGGCAAAGGTCATGGCCGCTGGAACCTGTCAACAAAGACCTGACCCGAGTCGGTGCACCCCTGGGTCCTCACCCTTATCCCGAAGCTCAAGCTTTGTCTGTTGTCTTGTTGGAAGGGGGGCTGGGGGAGGAATATTTGCACGGGTTGTCGCCTTGGTCGTGACCTGTGTTTTTGCATCTCAACCATTGTCGAAAGTTAACTTTAGGGGTCTCTGGGTTATGAAACACGTGGAAATACCACATTACCTCCCTTGTCACGTAAAAAAAAAGTAAATGAAGCAGTTGTTAGAGCTTTTCTTTTTTCTTTTTTTTTTT